CAGGAGCCCGCTTCCATGCGGCCCGTGTGGGCGCTGAGGGGCCGGGGCTGGGCAGGCACCTGTTGGCGCTGCAGAAGGACGTTGTGTCCGAGCTGCGTGTGGTGAAGGACCTGATGGTCCAGTGTGTCCCAGCTCACTACAACATCCTCGGTGTCTGCACTGTCACCTACCACCAGGCCCTCACGAGCCACCTCCAGGACATCCTCCGAGAAGACCTGGACAAACAGGCCCTCTTCCTTCTCCTGGAGTGGGCCCTTCGCGTGTACCACAGGTCAGCAGGGGAGGGAGAGGTGGGTTGTCCACCAGCACGCGGGCAGGGTGGGAGAGTGGCTCCGGCTGCCCAGGGATGGCCACGGTGAGGGCAGAGGCTGAGCTGGGAGCCGCTGAGAAACACAGGTCTTCCCAGCCCTGTCCCACCTCTGCTTTCCAGCCCAGAGATGATGGGTCACCCTGACCTTCTCCCAGAGGTGGACGTTTCTGCTCTGGGTCCCTTGCTGTCCCCTGAGCTTGTGGATCAGACGGAGAGGAGATACGTGGTGAAAGTCAAGGTGGGTGAGCGGGATGGCAGGCGTGCGGCGGGCACGGGGAGCGATGGCCACTGCTGAGCCGCTGCCTGCTCTGACAGCAGGAGCAGCCTGGGACGAGGCCTGGGACTCGCTGCTATGTTGGGTCTCAAGGGAAGGGGTGGCCGACCTCTTGGGCTGACTGTGGTGGGTGTCCATCCCCCAGGCCAGCGTGCTCGAGTGGATGCAGAGGACCCTGGAGGTGGAGTTCAAGGAATGGTTCAGGGAAGAGGAACCCGAGATGGACCATCAGGGCTTCTTCCAGTCAGCCCTGCCCGTCATCATCATGCAGGTGGGTCCCCAGCACCGCGGAGCACGGCTGTGCTGAGAGCCCCCAGAAAGGGGGCCGAGGCCTGCAGCCTCCCACCGACTCGCCTCCGCTCTCTCTGCCCCGCGCAGATGCTGAATGAGAATATCCAGGTGGCCTCCTTGATCACGGACTCTCTGCAGCAGAAGGTCTACAACATGGCCTTGGAGGAGCTCGAGGGATTTCTGGGCCGGTCAGTGGAGCCCCTTGCACCCCTCCCCGTCCTCAAAGACCATGGGTCCCGTGGCCAAGCACCACAGGCTGCCGGTGGCCATCTCTGCTGTGGGGCACCCAGCACTGGTCCGGGTGCCAGAAGGCCGTCTGCCCACGGGGCTGCTGTCGGCTCCCAGGGCTTGCTGCCCCAAGCACCACTCTCCTGAGGGGTCCAGAACGGGTCCCGCTGTCCCACCCTACCCAACAACCAGTCACTCTCCAGCCTGGTGGCAGGAGCTGGAAAGAGCCAAGAGAGCTGGGAGGGTTGCGGGAGGCCCACGTGCCCCCAGAGCATCCCAGCTCCAGGCCCTTGTGGTGAGATGGCCGGGGCTCTGCCCACCGGTCACGGTTCACTCACTGTGTTGCAGTCTGCGGGAAGCCCTGGTGCAATGCGGGAAGGAGCACCAGAAGGACCGTACCGTGCCCAAGTACTACGTCTCCTACCTGCTGGCCATGCTCAACAACAACCTGGCTCTCGGGTAACACGCGCCGGCACCTGGCAGCCACCCCACTCCCCAGCCCGATGTGGAACCGGTATCCCCCACCGCGCTTCTCAGGCTACCTGTCCCCTCCTTCCCTCTCTGTCTCACCTAGCTCCTCTGTCACCTCCCTGCACCCCGACACTGCCCCCAGACAAGTCCCCGCATCCCTCCGGGCTGCTCTAGACAGGACACAGAAGGCGCGCCCCAGCCCCTGCGGCTGCCACCGTCCCATCGGGAACAGCCCTGCTGCTGCACCCCCGGCGAGGGTTTGTCCCTGCCCGGCATCCCCACCGTGAGCCCCACGGGCTTGCTATCGTCCTGTAGCCGTCCCTGCCAGCCTGGCTTCCAGACCTTGATAAACCGCCCGCTGCGCAGGCAATGTCTGTCGCCCTTCAGCACCACCCTGTATCGCTGGGCAGACGGCTGGTGGCCCCCAAACCAGTAACTGGCAGAGACCGGGAGCCACGGCCCCCCCAGCTGCCTGGCACTGCTTTCTGTGGCTCTTTGGTGGCAGAAAACCAGCAGGAGAGAGGCAGCGTCTGTGCAGAGGATACAAGCCCCTGCGTGACTGCCCGAGTCGTTTCCTGCCGGCATAGCCAAATTTAGCTTTCCTGGAGTCTGGACCGAAAATCTAGTGGCACTGCTCTTTAGGGCTTGAAGGCCATGAAAGCAAAAGAGCAGCTAAAGGGAGAAATGCTCGCAGGCAGCGCGGAGAATGCCCCGGCCCCAGCAGAGACAGGGAGGGAATGTCGGCCTGCAGGCAGGAAGACAGGCAGGGGGGAGCTCAAAGCCCTCGGCCAAGACCACGTTGTGTCTCCCCAAGGGAAGTGGAGAGGACTGGAAATCCAAAATAAAATGGCAGCGGGACAGGCCAAAAGCGAGCGTGTGGGGAGCAGCTTGCTGCCCAGACCTTGGGTGCTGCCCACGGTGGGGCATCGTGACCCAGGTGAACCCCGAAATGTGGCTCTCTGGGTGTCAGGGAGGGGCAGCCCCAGTGCTTTTCTGCCATTCCCTGCTTTAGCCCGCTCTTTTATGTTGACTTTCTGCTGGCAGCGGGGGTTTGGGGGCCATGGCTGTGGGGTGCTGTGCAGCCCGACGTGATGCGGGGTGCCCCACGCTGCTCCTCTGCTTCTGTCAGCCCCTCTGCCTGCAGCTGCCGTCCTGCAAGTGGCTCTGCGGGTCCCAGCTCGTCAGCAGCATCTGCGAAGTGGTTCCGGGGGTACAGGAGATGCTGTCGCTGCTGGGTTGCTGGAGAGCCCGCGTCCTCCGGAGCGGCCCTGAGCACACCATTGTGCAGATAGGACGAGGGGAAACGGCCTCAAGCTGCGTCAGGGGAGGTTTAGATTGGAGATTGGGAAAAATTTCTTTACTGGAAGAGTGGTCGGGCATCGGCACAGGCTGCCCAGGGCAGTGGTGGAGTCCCCATCCCTGGAGGGGTTCAGAAAATGTGTGCGTGTGGCACTTTGGGACGTGGTTTAGCAGGCGTGGTGGGGTTGGGGTGACGGCTGGACTTGGTGATCTTAGAGGTCTTCTCCCACCTTAATGATTCTGTGATAGGGTTCCCCCCAGTTCTGCTACTTTCTCTGACCCTCTGGCCAGGGGGCTTCCAGCAGGTTGTCCCCAGGGCTGGGTTCTGCACCCAGCCCCTCTCCCTGGGCGATCGGGGGCTGACGCCAAGGCAATGCCCAGCGCTAACCGCTCTCCCTGGCCCAGCTCCTGCTGACGGAGAGCGAGCTCCTGGTGACGAGCCAGTACCTGCGGGCCCTCATGCAGAAGAAGATGGCGTGCAAGAGCGAGGAGGAGCGGGGCCAGCTCTGCGACCGCCTGCTGCAGGATGCCTCGCAGCTCCGTGAGCTCTTCTGTGGCCTGGTGAGAGGTGCCGGGGTGCTGCGGGAAGCCGGGGCTGGGCCACAGGAGGGGAAGGTCACATCGCACCGCACAGCCAGGTCGGTGCAAGGAGCTCGGAGCTCGCCTCCGTCGGCCTCCCGCTCCCCTCCAGCCTACAGCAGATGGGGCAGGTAGAGCAGCCCACTAACGGGATGTGGTAGTTGTGAAGCCAAGATGGGAGGAACTGGCTGGATGAGGGACTCGGGGACCATTCAGCCTGCCCAGCACGGCTGCACGGCCTTGTCCCACCTCAAGGCAAGCCGGCCCCAATCGGTGGGACGCGCAGCGTGGGGAGACACAGCCCCAAGGTGCCAGGCCCCCCCTGAAGACCGGCTGCAGCTCACCAGTCCCCTCCCCCTCTCCCTCCCAGGGTCTGGACCGGAGCCGGCAGAGCCTGGAGGCTGTGTTTGCCCTGCGGGAGCTGATCAGCCTCAAAGACCCAACGCTGCTCAGCCTGGAGGTGCTGGGCTTCATCACCAAGTACCCCGACGTCAGGTAAGGAGCCCTGCTCAGCTCTCCCGCGAGATGGGGCAGAGGAGCCAGGCTTGGGCTGGAGCGCGTGAGGTTGGGCTGCAGAGCAAGGCAGAACGCTGGGCTTTTTCCCCCTTGTCCCCAAGGACTCCTTTTCCCCGTGCTCCAGATTTGAAGGGTTCTTGCAAAGACCCAAGGGCACAGATGTAAAGGAAAGAGCAGCTCTGCCGTGGCACTGACCCGTCTGTTTGGTGGCCAAACAAAGGGTGGGAAATCACAAAACGCCAGATTAGGAATGTCAGAATGGGCCAAAACCCCTGAAATGTCAAAACCTACTTCGTGAGGTTCGTGGGGTTATTTTCAAGCAAATTTTAAAGTTCAGCTGGTGCAACGTACCTGCTGTCCCCTGGCCTCAGCTCGGCCTCTCTGGCTGCCGGGAGGTTTGCACGAGCGCGGCGGGTGGTGCCCCAACTCACCTCTTGCTCTCTGCCCAGCGACGAGCACATCTCCACCTTGCTGGACCTCCGCGGTGACGTCTCCAGGGAGGTACGGCACATGGTGCTGGAAATGATGGCGCAGCACCCCCAGGTCCCGCCCGAGAGCTACCAGCCCATCTTCAGCACCATCCTGGTCCCCGCGCCAGAGCTGCCCTTCTGCCTTCGCAAGGGCAAGTGTGCCTGATGCTGCGCCCCGCAGCCCCCCCCTCCCCGTGGACGTACGGACCACCGAGGACATCTCCGAGGCTGCACGCCAGGAGCAGAGCAGAGAGGGCTCACGGCATCCCCTTCACGCAGCACTGGGACAGTCTGGAGATGTGCCGCCATCCTCCGGTCTTGCCTTGCTGAGCAGACCGTCCCCGGCAAGTCCTGGGAGATCCAGGTGGGGAGAAAAATCAGCCCTGTGGCTGTATTTCTGGCCCGCTGAGGCCGCAATGGAGGGCTCCCGGGTCTGGCCCAGTGCCTGCAGGAGAAAGAGGAGCCACAGAGCAAAGGAGGCTGCAGCTGGGGTGAGTCCACATCTCCGAGGGGCTGCAGAGTTACGTGGGTTTCCCCAAGCCTCCAGCCTGGCCGTGGAGTCTGTGACCGCCCCAGCTCCGAGGCAGGCTGGAGCCTCACTAGACCCTGACGTGTCAGGAGGGCTTCAGCCCCACGAGGGCTTCCTCT